CAAAGAGAGAAGAATAGAAACAAGAGAAGAATAGAAAAGAAAAGAGAGAAACGGGAGAAAGAGGAAGAAATGAAAAAAGAGAGAAACGGGAAGAGAGAAGAATAGAAACAAAGAGAGAAACGGGAAGAGAGAAGAATAGAAACAAAGAGAGAAACGGGGAGAGAGAAGAATAGAGACAAGGAGAGAAACAGGGAGAGAGGAGAATAGAGACAAAGAGAGATCCTTATCTGTTTTTGTTTTTTGATATCCACCCTACCCACACACTTTCTTTTTTACTGTTCATTCCTCGACCATTAAAATAAAATGGAATAAATTACAGAAAACGCCCAAAGCAATTAGGTTATCAAAGGCGTCATAATTAGTCATGATTCTTATCTGGCCTCTTTCATCGTCTCCATCTGACACTATTCAATGTTTTATTATTATTAACTACTGCCTAATACAAGGCGGGGTGTCATACCAAAAGGAGGAGTTGGATAAACTCTTAGTCGTAAAGGATAAAAAAAGTTTTTTAGTTTAAGTTTAAGAATCTTTTAAAAAATAACATCATTAAGTTAATCAAAGAATGGGACATGATTTCTCTGAAAAAAAAAATAATAATTGAAATTTTAAAATAATGCCTGACCGCTTCTATCCGAGTAAACCTGTCCGCAAGATCAAAGTAGTGGCGTGTTTGGTACTCAAAATTCAGGTATTTTGGTGTCGAGACTGGAGTGAACTCCCCAGGGCGCAAATATTTTTAAAATATGCTATTAACCGTTAGATTATTTTTAAATTGACCGCAGCGATTTGTGTAACAGGTTTGCTATGGTAACGATGTTTCCTTACAGTTTTCTGTCATTCTGAAAATGCTCACGTAAAGTAACGAAAGGTCAAAACGAAAATAAAAATTCAACATCTGATTTTCATATATTCTATTTTTACACGTACGCACACATACACACCTCCAAAGATGCGCTAAAAATGTGCATACATGATGAAAAAAAATGATCCAAACTTAATAAAAAAAAACAAAATTTTATTGTTAAAATCTTTGTGATTATTACGAGGGAAGACCAAAGGATTTTTATGTCAACCTTTTTTAATCCTTTTTAGAAGACTCCAAAATTTTTGTTAAAAGTCTTGTTTCCTTTAGCGTCAACGTGGATGGAACCATAAATTTGTATGGGAAATTTTAGCGTCTTTTCGCGGTGAAAAACACACCGATTTAAAAATTCTTGCAAAATTCAGATATTTGATTTTAATGAAACTTTCAGAACTTATTCACAATTGAATTAAATTATTTTTTTAAACATTTCTTTTTTTCTTTTTTTTCTAACATCTTGGATATATATGTAACATCTGTTACACCCCATTACTTAAATTCTTTTTGTGTTGTTTAATGTTTATCTTAGTTATAAGTAAAAGTCCTTGCTGAATTTAAAGCATCAGTTTTTTTTTTGTTTTTTGTTTGATTTTTGTTTTTTGTTGTTGTTGTTTTTTTTTTTTTTTTTTGTCAAACAGGGCCCCCTGTTAGAGATAATCTGCTCTGAATTGTAAAATTCAATGAAAGTAAGGCATTATTTAATTAGAAAAGTTTTTAATTGCTTTTATGAGTAAAATATATTATGCACTTACGAAAATCTTTTTACAAGAATTGTTTTCATTTTTTTTAAACTTTAATTAGAATAATTTTAAAAAGAAATTTAAATCTTTTCAAATTCTGTATTAACTTGGAACGGTCAAGTACATTGTTATTTAATAAAAAAAAAACTTTATTTGCTAATCATAAATGGAGAAGCGTACTACAATTCAGTGAACCCCAGTATGTTAAAAAGAATTTTGAATTGTTTTTGTGTATGTATAAACGTGCCGTATATATTATATATATTATTATTATTATTATATATCCCTGTCATTCTCTCACAGTCTCTCCATCCCTGTCTCTCTCTCTCTCTCTCTCTCTCTCTCACTCACTCTCTCACGCACACCATCCCTGTCATTCTCTCTCTCCCTATCCCGGTAATCTCTCTCTCTCTCTATATCTATCTATCTATATATATATATATATATATATATATATATATTTTTTGAACAATAAGAAAATAAAAAATTAAAATCATTAGACACACTGGGTTGTAGATTAATATTCTTTCGTTTTTTTATTATTATTATTCCATTTAGATTCCTCGACTAGTTTCGACCGAAATGGCCATCATCGGGAGGAGAAATATTTCTGCTTGCTGTTATATATATATATATATATATATATATATATACAGAGAGAGAGAAAATGACAGGGATGGGGATAGAGAATGAAAGGAATGGAGGGACATATATATATATATATATATATATATATATCCCTCTTTCTGCCTACCATTCCCTCTCTTCCCCCTCTCTCAAAATCGGTTACCATGTTTGTATTTCCTGCCATCGCTTGTATAGCTGCAGTCTAATAGAAAAAAAAACGAAAATGTATTGAAGCGCTTGATAAATATGATTTTCACGTGGCCGGAACCTGTCACGTGCGTGTGCAAAACGAATTAAATAAATTTAACAAAATCCTATTGGTCAATTTCATTCTATAACGCGTTAAGACCAAGTTTTTGTTTATAACAGGATAAGAAAGAAAGGTCATAGGACGATAAATAAAAGAAATGCCCAACATAAATTACTGTCATGACTGTATAATAAATCGAGACTACAATTATTTATTTATTTATACTATTTCCGTTATTGAAATAAACAGACAAGACTCTATCATTGCTGCCTTCTCAATTCGAACACAGACGCAATTATCACAAGGAGTAACAATCTGAGCATTTTACTTCAGGATATCGCCTAATGGATAAAAGTACTGTACTACAGTTCTTTTCTCTGCAATAAATAAAATAAAAATATTTTTCTGTCTTGTTCTAGTTGTAATTTTTCTCCTCCCCCAATTCTCTGTAATCTGTTACTTGCTGACTTTTCACGAGTCGTCTTCGGTGTTTTTTTGTTTTTTTTCTTGAAAATCAAGCGACACCAAATCTTTTAAATACTTCTACACTTATTTCATTGTATACTAATACTGTCGACTGAATTGTTTCGGGCCTTGCCCAAATAATACCGGTGTTGCAGTGGATTCAGTTCTTTCGCAGACGTCAAAACTTTTCGCTAAACGCGCATGCGTTGATATCACTATTAACAGCAGAAATACCTTTTTGGTTTTGGCCATGCGTAAAAAAAAAAAAAAAAAAAAAAAAGTTTTGGAGCATGCGTGTGAATTCGAAAAGGCTAGCATGTTTTCACTCCCGAACTACATCGTGATAGGACGCTAAAATTAGCGCTCCCTTTAATAGACGCAGATACAGGACGACTCAATACTACCGACTGAGCTGCGGGACAATTCAGAACTGAGAAAACTCAGCACCAGAATATATTATAACCAAATAAAAGTAATTTATTAAGGGCCAAAACCTTAATTACTGAATATTTTTCTGAAAATAATTTTAAGTGTAAGTTTGAACCTAAATTTAAATTCAAATTTAGATTATAATGCAATTAAATATTTAACAACAGTAATAACTTACCATATATAACACCACGAAACCGCGATACCCAGAAATATTAACCAGACTGTGATCAGTTCTCAGTACCTGACGATTGCATAGTGCATGAAACTCCGAGTCGTACTGTCGCCGTGGGATATATATATATATATATATATATATATATATATATATATATATTAATACAAATATAATATTCCTCACTTAGCTGATTGATGATATATTCAATACCCCGACTCCAGAGTTTCCTAGACGAACCTTTTGTAATCATTCGATTCACTTGTCTGGAAATATCAGCAAGAAAGGACTAGATGTAATATAGCTCAGAGAAAGAAGAATCCATTCTTCAATGAAATACTCACCTACTGTGAGCAAGAAAGTCACTGACAATATGTTTCTTTGAAGAATTTATAATGGCTTGAGTTTACCAGTTTGCTATAGGAATCATCAAATTGTCTCTTCTGTTGAAGAGGGATATTTTCTTGTTTTGGAGAGTTATAGTGGAGATATTGTGATCGTATGAGTTTTCTTTTTTTCTTCTAACAGAAGATAATATAATGTTCTTCTGCAAGCGATGCGACACGTAGTTCGGAGACTAAGAAGCTCTTGTCGGAAAGTGTTAAATCTGGAAACAGAGGAGGCGATCGCGTCGTTTCCGCTTGGTAGGAGGCGCTTCGTCCGAGGTGAAGTTGAACGCTAGATGTCGTCTTCCTCAGCAACTGCTGTGTCCTCGTTCATCTGGCGACTGACCCGAAGTCCGCTGTCACTCAAAAGTTACCATGTCGTCTTGGAAGATTTACCAAACTGTGATAACAGTGAATGTTGAACAATTTCCTCACAGAAAAAAGGCTGGAGGCAGAAGAAATGTGGTTCGTTTCTAATTGATTGAATTGTTATCAACGTTTTGCAGGTTATTTAATGCTAAAACATATTTTGGATTGTAAGAATATTTTTTTGCGCGTAAATATGGGAAACGAACATGTCTTGTCCCTACAGCATCGTGTGGTTAAAAAGTGAAATAAAAATTGTGCGCTCTTTCCTTTTATACAGCTTTTTACAACGCCACCTGGCGGTTGTTAGAAGACCCCAGGTAGACGAGATGTGTTTATCGCAAGCAACAATATCTACGCTCCAACAGATCTTTTTACCTTTGTTTACTGAGATTAAATCCAGTCCATTTGAATTCGAGGATTTGTCTGAATTTAAAACTTCTATAAAATTTAATTGTATATCAGATCTGAAGAGTTATTAGATGTGATGGTCACTGGACATCAACTGGCCCAACGCAATGAACGTTGAATTTAAGTCAGTCAAAGACCCGATGACTGCAGGCAGCACACAGCGTGTAGTATGAGTACATGTTTCTATCTTCCTTACTACTACTCAACTTTGTCCAGGTTCCTTGCTAAAGAAGTAGCCCCTATTCTCTTCACCTCTCGCAACTTCATGAAATTAGTTATTAACGGCCAATCCTCCAAGGCACAAGCGATCATCGCAGGCGTCCCCCAAGGCTCGCTTTTCGGCCTAACACTCTTTCTCCTTTATATAAATGATCCTCCTAAAAGTATACACCGATCATTTGTGAATATGCTGATGATACAATGGTATACGGGTGCAACATCCAAAACTCTAAATGACCAGAGTTGGCAGCCAATCTCTACTCTAAGCTAGTATTAACAGCTCAGTGGGGGTAAACGGGCTAGTCGCATTCAATATCTTGAAAACCAAACTAAGAACACTATTTACATTATACGGACTATTGTCCTCATCTCTGTCGCCATATTTATTACAACGTTTTGGCCGTTGTACGCCTTCTTCAGGTGGTTGGAATATCGAACTGAACCCTTTATTTCGCTCACTGGGGTAGACTGTTATAGTTCCACGTGCCATGTTTTAATGGCTGTCAGTTGTCAGTTATCCCCTGCCAATTCCCCTCTCAAAGTTCTCCACTGTCTTAACCGGGTATTGAACTCTTTGGGTCCTGTCACTGGATCTAACCAACGCCTTTATCCACTGTGCCGTTGTAATAAATATGGCGACAAAGATGAGGACAATAGTCCGAATAATGTAAATAGTGTAGATAATACTTCATCTCAGAAATATAGACACAAACTAATAACATTTCGTTATCGCCGAGCGGGCCCTTCATTTTAACCGATCGCGATGAACGAGTGTTTTCGCGATGAGGTTCCGTGCCTTGAGCGCCTACTGCGACGTAAACTCAACCCAGACCTCAAGTGGAACTTGTATATATGATCCATCGCTAATGATACTGGGAAAATGGTCGATTCCCTGTACCGCTTCAGTACGTGACTCCTCCTGTTAACCTCTACCTTTACAAGAGCCAGATCGGGCCGAAAATGGATGCACAGTTTATGTGGGTACGTAGAGAAGACAACCTGTATCATCTACCTCGAGTGGCTCTCAAGCCTTGTACAAAGTGAACATTATTGTCAAAAATCATTAAGGAGTGATACTTAACATGATTATTTGGGAAAGTTAGTAAACTCTAAATTACACTCGAGCAGTTTCCTCCCTCGAACCCGCTGCCAAGCTGAACCGACTCTTAAGAGGACACTTCCCTTATCACGCCAATTTTAACCTGTTCATCTCTAAGGCTAACCATTCTTCCCCACATATCTTCATAAACTGTGCCTTTTACTCCGTAGCCCTCTACCTCGAGTGGCTCTGGGGTCTTGTACAGAGTGAACTTTATTGTAAAAAAGTTGATTCTTTGGGAAATATTTTTATAGTTCTGCATTTTCAATGTGTCGTGATACGTTTGTGTTGTTCTTCATCTGATACTGCTATTGACAGTTTCGTCATAAATGACTGCTTGCATCTGAGGAGGTTGTTTGTGTATGTGCATTGCAGCAGATCGATTTTGGAACTGTGGTATTGCACTCAATTTGAAAATTGGGGTTTCACAGGATAAATAATGGCACAATATATTTTTTCCAGATAGATACCGTTTTTTTGTTTTGTTTTGGGTTTATTGTGTGTTTTTTAGGAAATGCGTTTAAAAGATTAAGTCAAAATCGTATCGTTGGAATTTCATTCTAGTGATCAATGAAAACCTTATAAAATTTATAAATTATTGAAACTTTACAAATTATATATGGACACGATGCATGGGTCAAACATTATTACTAAACCATTGTGCCATCAAATAAGACCTTCATTTACTTCAAAGGAAAATTATACTGAACAATTTTGATATATTATGATGTCATGTTATACAGTGCAGTAGTTCTAATGCAATTTTCAATAAACAATGTAAATTTAAAACATTTTGTTTTGTAATTTGTGGCTAGCAGTATTATGGTCTTATATACACTTTTACCTATATTTTACTTTTATTAATCTGGCAAATGATCTAGAAAATCTTATTCGTTCTGTAACTATTTTTGTAATAATTTATTTTTTTTTTTTACAGTTCTTACTTGTGGAAAACAGTAAAATTTGCATATTTTGCTTGTTGTGATTCATAATTCGAATTCTGGTTTGAATATATTTTCCATTCAATGTATCTAATACAAAAGATTTGGATTATTCTTGAAAAAGTAAAATTTTGAGGTTAGTTTGTCAGCAAAAACTTGCGGAAATTAAGCATTTCTGTACATTTTTCGAACGATCTTTAAACGTAAATGCTCAAAAATAGGTAAAAGTTATGAATTTAATTTTAGGTATTACTTCTTATCACATCAAATCCCAGTTTTTACATCGAGTGCAATATTGATTTTACAAAAGAAAAACCAACCTTCCCTAATGTGCATGAATGCGTATAATAAAATTTTCAACTGGGTATTCGAAATTTTATTAAAGACTGGTGAATAATGAAATAAATTTCAAAAGGTCGTACTGCTAAGCATTTTAAGGTTAAAGGGGGTTGTGAAGAGGAAAAATCAAACTTGGAAGAAATGGGGCGTGGAAAAGTCTCCAGTATGGTGCTAACAAAATTTCTACAGTTTACACTTGTTTTTCTTTGCTGAGGTCCAGAATCAGATTGCTAATGGCCGCGTCAAGTTGAAACACCTATTCTTATACGATCACCGAAGTTAAGCAACTTCGAGCCTGGTCAGTACCTAGATGGGTGTCCACTTTGGAACACCAGGTGCTGTAAGCTTGAATGTGTGGTGGTGTAATGGATAATGGCTCGGAATTGTTAATCGGAGAGTTGAGTCCCAATTTCAGTTGTGTTCGTTATATTCACTTAGCGTAAATTCAGCTGGAAAAGGCATGAATCCAACTCTTCTCCCCCAATCTATGGGTTTATTAGTAAGACTTGTATCACTAAATCATTATTATCCCCAAAAAATTTCTTACAATATAAAAATACTTTCTGCCTTTAAATAACCTACAATGTAAAAAATGAATCAATAGATAGTTCTCTACAAACAGCTCGGCTTTTAGTCGCTATATTTAACACTATTAGAGTAAGACCTGACACCCCACCACTTCACTGAATATTTTCGATCTATCAGATTTTCTTCTGGATATGCTTCTTGGTCAGGCTTAGAACTTTTCAGTTTTCTATGCTTAACTTTCATGCGTTATGAGAATATATCAAATGAAAGACTTTACTGAAAATAACATGAAAACAATGATTTGTTATCTGAGCGAACGAAATAATTCATCACAGGACTTCTCTTTCTGCGTGTCACGTTCATGGATCTTCACAACCTCCTATTTTTTATAGTTATTTATAAAGTTTGTCCTTTTACCATACCTTCTACCCACCGCGTTCTGCCATTCATAAACACAAGCTTGTTAGTTAAAGGGCCTGCTGCCACCCGATGTTCCTTTTACTTAAAATATCCTGTGAGTGTCAAAATCCCCAAGCCATTTGGCTTTTAACTAGCCCTTATTCGGCCAACCCGTACATTTGGGCCATCGGAAAACTCAGCAAACGAGTATTCAACAACCACGGACCCAAAACTTATGGTGTTCTGCGCCGTTTTCATCTTCACACTTGTGAGACATGGATCCTGTATCGAAAGGACCTGATAAAACTTGAACGATTCCAACAAGTCAAGTTCCGACAGATCCTCAATATAAAATGACAGGACCAACACACAAACAGTCCACAACACACAGTCCTCAATAGCTCGGAAATACCGAGCATTGAAGCCGCCGTCCTCAAGCATCACTTCAGATGGCCAGGACATGTCACCTGAATGGCCTCTTCAAGACTACCAAGGAGCCATTCTTTACAGCGAGCTCGTCAACAGCAAACAACATAACGGAGCTCAAAACGCAGATTCAAAGGCCGACTGAGGTCTTCTCTCCTTCAATCCAGAATCAGCGTTAACACCTGTGAAAAATAAGCTGCCGACAGTTCGTGATGGCGTAGAGCAATTTATTCTCGATTTGGCTTGAATGTCAGATTCAATTATCGGTGTACGTGGTATTAGCGGGTCCCAGCGGTTAAGGTCTGGGGCTGGTGGACCCTGGAATGTTGTTCGCCCGAACATCTGTCATGAAAATAGCGATAGATCGGCGAGAGGCCTGCACACGTGTGAAATGAAAAATGAGATTTATTTAACAATGGTCCCTAATCGCAATAGTGATGTTTTCAATTCGAATATGCCAAAGAGAAGATATAAATTACTTCCTTTAAGTGACAAGGTAAAAATTCATGAATTAATAGAGCAAACAAAAGTATTGGACGTCGGGGTTGCTAAGATCTACGATGAAAATGAATGTTCTGTCGCATATCTGTCATTACAGTATATTGTTAGAACTGCTTTATTTTAATTTTTATTATAAATCTCTGACTGTGTCTAATTTATACATTGAAATTTATCACATATATGTTAGGGGGGGCGCTATATACGCTCTTTTTTCCCTATATGCTGATTGGGACTATCAGCAGTTTTATGCATTCGCTGAGGTTTGGGGGTGCAATTTTTTTTCTTCGGATAAGAGAGTAACAAATCAGGGCCGATGAAAGGGTCTCGTAGACCCCCACCAAATTTATACGAGCCCTCCACACTACTACATCTCAATTTTCATAATGTAGTATTCATATAAAATACAAATTTTATTGTAACTCAATTATGTACGATAATAGATCATATGCAATATAGGTGAACAATTCAACTAGAAAAATAGAAAATAAATACAATGTATCTAAACACAAATTAGAGACCTGTCATCATTCCATCTTAAATAAATCATCAATGTTTTGCAGCAATTTTTAATATCAACTCGAATTTTTTCGAATAATTAAAGTTGAATAATTTTAACACATTCAACACCATGGATAAAAATATAGTGTATTTTATATTGTGTGTGTGTGTGTGTGTGTGTGTGTGTGTGTGTGTGTGTGTGTGTGTGTTTTTGTTTGTTTGTTTTTAGAATTCACGGATTTGAACGAAAGAAAAAAATAGAATTACTTCAAAATCCGAAAATCTTTCATCCCTTAATACTAATATTGTGCTTAGTTTAATTCGTAACATATATAAAAGTAGGTAGAAAAAAAAGTAAATGTTGATATGATAGCAAGGGTGACAAAAGAACTGACCGGGGATCCCAATCGGGCTTGTCCCTCAACCTCGGTCAGTGAGATTGGGAGTAGTACGCACCGGTCCTGGAAACAACAATTGACGACTTGAATGTAACACCCGGTCACATATATAAAAATAGGACAGTTAACTATTGACAACAGGGGCAAGTCGTTTTGTCTCAACTGTAGGCGACAAAGTTTTATGAACATTTTTACCCGTACTTATATCCTAATCCAGAGTAGGACCTTTGATCCTCACAGATTACTTACAATGGACAGTCTCTCGTCATCCGTTTCTACCTGTTGTAGCTACCTGAGATTAAATGTTAATATGAATTTCTTTCTGTCTGAATTTCTGGAATGAGAAGTTATAATTACTTAAAATATTTACATTCGGACTATTGTCCTCATCATTCTTCTTTACATAATAATTGTGAGATGGCGTGTACACAGTCCATAGTCATGTTCTCCTCTATGGAGGTCATACTTGGAAAAGGTATCTGTGAAGTGTCAAACCAATTTTGAAGGTCGTCCTGATGTTATATAGACCACAGATCTTTTGTATTTTTCAAATATATATATATATATAATATATATATATATATATATATAATACGAATGTCAGTGTGTCACTGTATCACACTTTTTCGGCCTGATTCCAAAATGGTATGATAGGTTGGGCTACGGCCTCTAGGAGTAAAGTTGAAAACACGGACAATTTTATTTTGAAACACTGTAATTTCAGAACATTATCCTGAAATATTGGAATCCCAAATTTTCATTACTTTGATTGTTTTCGGATTCTGCCATCTTGGCTTCTACTGATAAAAACAACTTAAAGGGAGACAACTCTCTAACTTTCAATGTCATTTTCAAATAAAAAAAAAATGAATGTTCTGAAATTACAGTGTTTCAAAATGAAATTGTTCGTGTTTTCAACTTTACTGCTAGAGGCCGTAGCCCAACATATCATGCCATTTTGGAATTAGACTTACTCCGTGAACAAATTTTAAAAATTCCCGGCTAGATCCGGACCCGCAATCCTGAAATTTTGGATTCCCAAGTTTTCATTATTGCGATTGTTTTCAACGATATTATTACGTGATTTTTTTGCGACGAATTTTTTTTTTTTTTTTTTTTTTGTGCGATAACAATTTTTATAACATGGAAACAAATTTGGGAATAATCGAAATTAACTGCGAAATCTAGTGAAAGTTACCTATGAAATAAAAATAATTCTTTGTACGGGGAGTAAGGACCTACATACATCAAATTGTCTTTAAATTAAGTGGCGGCAGAAGGATTATCGTTGAACTTTTAAAAGGTAAGCTTAAATATTAATGCAATACTTAAATGCAGCGATAAATTTTGAGTTCTTCTGTAGTTTATTGTTACCTACACTATATACTCCTCTCTACCTATTGTGATGAAGGCCCAATCAAGTGCCCTCCTTAGAAACTAGTTTAAATGCCGTATATATATCTATATCTATATCTATCTATATATATATATATATATATATATATATATATATATATACACACACACAATAATGTTCACTCAGTTCAAGGCTCAAGAGCCACTCAAGGCAAAGAGTTACTATGAAGTATTGTATGAGCGTAAGAAAAGGCAAATAGTGGATACCAATAATGCATATTATATTTAACTTTAAATAAGTGTTGACAAAGCAATATTATCTTTATTATCTACAAAGGCAGACATGAAGATACAGTTGGTTATATGATTCTGACTGGGTCAACAAACAAGTAAGACTACTTGTCTATGCAAACCAGTTTTAAACCTGAACATCTGTCAAGATTACGAATCGCTCAAAGCCTGGAGCAATAGTGAATAATACGACGATTCAACCAGAGACAGAAACCTTTCTATTCTGCTGTCAAATTAGACAAAGATGTTTTATTGTTGCTTTTGACGATAGCAATAATTCAACTGGCGTGTGGAATGCGTTCGCTTCGATAAGTCAAAACAGTTTTCGAGTATTATTACTACTATGTTGATGCCAATGTGTTCAGCTTATATTTTGGGACAGAATTCGTAATTCATAAATTAGTAGCTTAACTAGAAAGACCCTTGAAATTACACAGTTTTCCTATTTGAATTTTCTGATGAATCTTACTTAATTCTACAGTTAATGGTTGAATAATCTCATGGCGAGTTCTACAGCAATAAAATATCCGTAGAAATTCCCCTATCATATCGGTAAACAACTTTGACAAAATATTGTAATAACAATCATAAATATGAATGCTGGTCGCCTTTTTTAAGAAGTTGATACAAATGAAAAGATTTGAAAGTGGAAACTCTTTCCATTTTACTGAAACAGCCATTAAACACTTCTTTCTTCCCTTCTTTCTTTCTTCCCTTCTTTTCTTTCTTTCTTTTTTTCTTTCTTTCTTTTTTTCTTTCTTTCTTTTTTTCTTTCTTTCTTTCTTTAACTGGTTTTCTCACTGATATCAATTTGTGTCTTTTTCTCTCTTTCCACGCGATCAAAACGGAATAGTCCATTATTGGCAGGAGACATTAAACACTTTTATCCTTCTTTCTTTCTAGCTAAATCTTACGAACATTTCCAAAAAATTACAAAATATTGAAGCCATGGAGAATACTAAGGAAAGTGCTGCTGATCTAAGGAGACATGCTGCTAGCGAGTCTAGTGATGATCACCAAACATGTCATGTGAATATGCAAATACATATCAGCACAAGAGCATTTACGAACATTAACAATTGTAAATTAATTCAGCAGACAATGTTATTTTATTTATGGTAACTAGATTTTTGGCGATTGCCTTACTCGGTGTACGTCATTCGATAGTGTGCATTTGAAAAATGACGCATTTATCGCGGTCAGCACTTCTCGGCCTTTTGGCTCAAATCAAAGTGTAGTATCTGTTCTTATCAGCTTAATTTAATTCTTTCACTTTCCACTTCTATCTTCCCTTCTCCTTCATTCTTTCAATTTTTCACTGAAACCAAGTAGAGTCTTTTATCCTCTTTCGATGCGATCAAAAAAACTAAATAATCCATTATTTATGAGGTATTGGCAGGGTGTAACGGTCGTGCGAACTAAAGAAGGAGGGACAATTCTTCGGACATTCATGGACTGAGTTGCCTCTAATGTGGTCCACAATTCCAATCCACTGGATATGCCAGCACGTAGATGACAAAATCTTGACTACCATATTGACAACATTCTGTTCTTGATAATGACTGAGATAGTCAAAAGAATTTGAACAAAAACAGTTTATCCACAATCTTGATCCTGATGTACAACATCTTATTTGGAAAAGTGCAATAAACAATTAAACACACAGACCTTATTAGTTGAATTTAAGAAAACAAATATATATATACTAGCAGTAGAGGCCGGCGTTGGCCGGGGATGTAACAGTAAGAGATAGATCAAGTATTGACCATCATAAAGACTGAAAAATAAAATTGACAAAGATTATAGTTTAAGGTTGACGGACACGCATGTCTTAATTAGTTTTTTTTTTTTTTACGAATTGGTCAAACCCAAATTCAAACAAAAAAAATTGTTTACAATCGTTATGAGTCTATCGATTGGTGAATAGAATTTTATTATAAACAATTGTCTTGTAAATGGAATTTTAAAGCATTCTGAATGTAAAAATAAAGAAAAAAGTGTGCAAGACAATAAGAAACACTACCTGCCAAAAAAAATGTGAAGTTTTGTTGAAGTCGGTTGAAAAAATGTAGGTAGCCTTTCTCTGTAATCTTTTTACAATTTATGATTTTTACTTATTGAATACAGTAAAAAAAATTGCATATTTTGCTTGTGGTGATTCATAATTAGAATTCTGATTTGAATATATTTTCCACTCGTTGTTTCTAATACAAAAAATATTAACTTTATTTGGGTTTATTAATTTTATTACAAGTACTGTGTTCTTTCCTTAATAATTATCATCTTCGAAATATTGTTGTTTTTTGTCTATCAGATTTCTTACGTCGGCATTTTTAAATTATTTCTTAATACTTTCTTTTAAATATTGAATTAATTTCAAATAGAACCAATGCCTTATTGATCTGCCTTGTAACAAATTGCAAAGGAATTGTAAAACGGCCCTAAAAGTACGTGGAATTATCTTTCCCTAAAGATAAAGAATTATCCGATTTTTCGTTTCGTACAATCAGTAGAGATCGTTAGATTATTGTTTAGGTTGACGGACACGCATGTCTTAGTTTTTTTTTTTTTTTTTTTACGAATTGGTCAAACTCAAACAAAAACATTGTTTTCAATCGTTATGATGAGTCCCCGATTGAATAGAATTAGAATTTTATTATAAACAATTGTCTTGTAAATGGAATTTTTAAAGCATTCTGAATGTATAAATAAAGAAAAAAGCGTGCAAGACAATAAGAAACACTACCTGCCAAAAAAAAAAAGTGGATGTTTGTTTTATCGGCTGAAAAATGTAAGAAATCCGATCCTATATATAAAAGAACACACACACACACACACAAACAACCTGGGTTTTTTAACCTAAGTCACTCCACGGAATCGCTAAAACATAGAGCATAGTCTGATTAAAAAGACGCCAAAGTTTATGAAAACAAAATTTTATCGTCAAAATGCTTATGTTTTTATGAAGAGGATAGACTAATTTTTTTTTAAATTATTTTTTAAAATTTTTCCCTCTTTTTATAATATTCTAAATTTTGATTTAAAAATCCTTGTTTCTCTTTGTCGCAACAAGGGGTAGTAAATAACATAGATAATTTTTAGCGCGTTTTTTTTTTTTTGTATTTACAGACATTAATTTGGAAAATCTTGCAAAAATAAAAATAATTGTCAGATGTTAATGAAACTTTCAGAAACTATTCACAGATGATCGAAATTATTATAAATAGTTTGTTTTTTTATTAAAGTCATGGCAGAAATATTTTTTTATATATTTATTATCACCCCCATAAATAATTTTATGAAAAACTCTAGAAATTCGAGACCATCGGTTTTAGTGATTACAATAGTTAAAAGCACAAGGCTTTGAAGAATGAAAATCATGTTTTTTTTTTTTATTTGGCCAACGTACCTGAAAATCAGCTGTGAATTGTAACATACAAAACTCAATAAAACAAATATATTATTTAGTTTCAAATGCTTTTATTTGTTTTAATTTGTTTTTATGAATATGGACAATATTTTCTGAAAGCAAAAATTTTTCAATGAAAATTGAATTTTTAATACAATTATTTCTTATTTCTTTAATTTTAAAAGATTTTTTTTAATTTTTAAATTGAATTTTAAAAATATTTTAACATTAGTTAAAAGCAACATCAACCTTTCAAAATGTCCGTGTGAGATTGTCATTGTCTAGCGCTTTGAAAATTGTATAATTTGGACCAATCAGATTAGCCATGGTAATTAAGAAATGTAATTTTTGTGTTTATAGTCGGACAGTAATTATCAAGTACGGAAGACCAACCAGAATACAATTTAGTTGTATTATTTGAGTTCAGCATTGTTCTCCGCTGTTAAGCCCTTTACTTTTGCGAAACACGTATGGAGAAATTAATTTGAGTTTTCAATTTCAACTGAGAAGAGTACCTACAAGTAACAGTATCATCTTATGAAATTTAACTACTGCTAAACTTTAATTTATATGATCTTATTTTTATATTAATCTCAGTTATGACATTTTTTTCCATAAATGAAATATCAAAATTAATAATAAAATGAATGGAAATACAAATAACACAGTAAAATGTAATAAATGTACATAAAATTATAGTATTTTATGTACACTTCTGATAAAATTTCATAAGAAAGGTACCTAAATTAATTAGATACCTTTTTCTTATGAAATTTAATCTCACTATTAACAGTCTTTATTATTTTCCATAAAGCATCGTAAACGTAAAAATGAAAGCTAAGTACAAAAAAAATAAAAATAAAAATAAAAAATTAGAGCGCTGAAAGTTTTCCTTAAAAGTAACGAGGTAAATAATTTGTTCACTTAAATAATTTCACTTCCTTCCATCCGTAGAAAGAATTATCCTCCCGTAAGTTATCAAGCGACGCGAAAGGTTATGACCTGCTTTGTTTTATTTTCAAATTACATTTTTTCGGCGCAGAAGCTAAGTTAAGCTTGGTTCAAAATATTTTAAATAAACAGTATAATTTCTGTTTTTATTAAAATCAGTTTTGAAAAAATGATAATTGATTTTTAAAAGAATATCAAAATCAGATTTTAATCTTTTTTATCAAATCGAAAAAATGATTGAAAATGATTATCTGTCCTTTTTTTACCAAAAAAAAAATATTTTTAACGAAAATTTCAGACTTGCTAGGAACGATTAAAAAATGTAAAAAATACCCCAAAAATACTTTGATCTTTCCTCTTTAATAATAATATGAACATTAGACGATAAACTTTTGTTTTCGTCAAGTTCAGCCTTTTTTTCATCATGCTATGCTCTTTTGTTTACATTTTCGTGGGTGAGTTGTCCCCCTTTCATTCTCACGATGTGTCTTAATCGTGTTTTCAAATTGATTTTGTTAAAAAACAATTGTTTTTCCCATTTTCGGCGCCGTTAGAACCACCACAAGGTAATTTTATGTAGTCCTGTGAAGTTTTGTTGAAATCGGCTAAAAAATGTAGGAAATTCGATCCAATATATAAACGTTACAGACACACACACACACACACACAATCTGCGTTTTATAATAAGTAAGATAAGATAAGATATATTTCTTCGTAGATTGTTTAGACATTTAGATATTTGTCAAACCTTAACCTCCCAAATATGCACGTTAAAGTAACGCGAATTAACAGCGTCTAAGAATTTGAATGAAACCTGTCGTGTAATTGATTGGGGTTGTTGTAGCTTCTTCCTTTAATGTCGGTCTTATATCTAGAGTCGAGACGCGTTAAATTTGAGCAACATCTAGCCGACACACTGGGGTTAAAAATAGGAAATTGAAATGATACATATGACACACTCATATCCTCTCTCCCACCTCACTTCCTCACTTCGTTAATTTTACGTATACTTGATGAGGTCCGTCAAAAACGTGTGAATTTCTTTTCATTTTTCATTTCAGCTTTTGGAAGTAAAGTCTGATGATCCAGAACCCTGTTAAAGGGGTTATGGTGAAATAGCTTATTACATGGAATCTTAACGTGGTCTGTTTTTTATTCAAACATATCTGCTCTGAATTTTACATTGAGCTCTCTGGATATCATCCTCCTCGGGTCTACCCATACGGATTACCTAAGTTTGCATAAACTATATATATATATATATATATATATATATATATATATATATATATATATATATATGATAAAATATAGCTTTAATGTAGTACTCAATATCAGGAATAGAGCGCATGTAAATAAAAAAAAGTGGACATTGAAGTCAACCTATAGAGGACAGTCTGTTTCATGCCAAACGCATTCATCAGGCCATAT